ACGTCAGGCTATATGATGGTGCCATGTAGGATACAGGTTCGATTCCTGTCGATTTCTTATGAAATTTCCCGGACATTCAGACTGTTAAATGTTGTTAATACTGTTTATTATAAACAAAGTTTTACTTAAATATTTCTATACGTAAAAATAACGTATAAAAAATAAATATATTAAAATAATTCTTGGACTTAGTCCATTTCATAATATACATATATATATATATGGCGGACAACGAAAGACTTATAGTCGCAGGTAAAGCTATCATTAAAAGAGCAGCATGCTGCTAACTTGCTTTATTATTTGCGCGCAATATCTCGATATCCAAGTCTGCCTCGCTCGTGTATATATATATATATATATATATATATATATATATATATATATATATGATAATATGTATATATGCTTTAGGAATTTAAGCGCACTGCTAGATTTGCGCAAGGTTTAATTATTTTACGGGTCTATTGGTCAGAGGTAACCGTTTCTTATACTGCATGTCTCGCTTATGTAACTTTCTTCCTTGTAATCCTCTGCGTCATAGTATCATTATCGCCTTACTTCGAGTGAAATGATTATATATATATTAAAAGAAGAGAGAAACCGCATATATTTTTGCTAACACTGTGGATTTTGAAAAAAATATATTATGCTTTATGTTCCATCATTTCTACACCAGTTTCTGGTCTCGCGTCCTTCATCAGGCAAAGAGTGGATATTTCCACATATAATTAAAAGGAATTAATTTTTATGTTTTTCCAATGTTAAACATTCTCGACGTTGAACATTCTTTTGTGTGTGTGTGTTAGTGACGTAAATGTTTTCTTTGAACTAGCAGTGAAAAAATTTTTCTGCGTAAAAGGTTATAAAACAATTAAGATTGGTCCGAGAAAGGGTGAAGGAATATATCTGTATTCTTATCTTTTATTGACCCCGTTTATTTTTAGATACATACACACATACATACATACATACTGTCTTATTATAAGGAAGTAGTATGCCCATATATATATACATATACATATATGTATAAACACACATGCACATACATACATACTTACATACACACAGATACATACACACTTCCTATGTTGTGTAGGATTCGCGTGTGTGGCCTTGAGCAGTCTTGTTTTTGCCAATATATATGCATATATATATATATATATATATATATATATATATATATATATATATCAGTATGCGTATGCATACTCGCATTCCCTCTCCATACATACATCTTGTATTATTATAAGGAATTATGCAAACATATACACAAAAACATACATACACACATATACATACATATATACATACATACACATACACACACTTCCTATGTTCGTTAGGTTTTCCGGGTGAGCCTGTCAGTAGTCTATTGTTTTTCCAATATTCGTATACATATTCATACTCCACAGATATTCGTGGGTGACTGTGTACATGCATGCGAGTGGTTTGACCACTGTATTTGTCCATTATGTGTGCATGTTGTTTTTTCTTGTATTTGTAGATAAGAATAATTGTCTGTTTGATATACTGATATAATTTTAAATTCACCCTGATTACATTTATAGATGTGTTGTGATACAAAGTGTTTTCTGTTGTCTGATAATTTTATGTTGCTTTTGTGGAGAGAGACCCTGTTGTTTAGTTGCTGGCTGATACCTATATATGATTTATTTCATTTTGTGCATTTGAATTATGTTATTAAACGTTATTTTTAGTCGATACTCGTATTTGGGTAGACACTCAGTTTATTCAATATACAGTATATTTATCTTCGAATACCGTTTATTTTTGTCTGGATATTCGAGAAATATATCCACCCCGGTAGAATTCGAAGGAGAGAACCGTCTTTGCTCTAGGCCGACTGAACTACGAAGAACTTAGCCGAGCATACAAGGATGAATAGTGGCTTCAAGCGGAATTCTTATCGTCATACTTCTTTAAAGTGAAACAATCTGTCGGATACGTAATCCTAAAGCGCATTACTTTTTTAGAAAATTGTCCCCTTTCTCTCTCTTCTCTCTCTCTGCCACTCTCTCTCTCTCTCGGTCTCTGTCTGTCTGCCTGTCTGTCTGTCTGTCTCTCTCTCTCTCTCTCTCTATATATATATATATATATATATATATATATATATATATATATTTTTTATACGTCATCTTTCAGCTACACGAGTTTCCAGTCACGTGACCTTCTTAAGGCAAAGAAAAAGAATACATTTTTAAAAGGAATACATTTTCCTCATGTTCTTTTAATGTCTCGGTGTTGGTTTTCTGTACTTGTTAGTGATTCTTGAATTCCTTTCTGAACTGTTGGCAAAAGGGAATTTCTGCCAAGTGATAAAAAACCATTAGGTTTGTTACGAGAGGTGGTGATGATAGATGTGTTGATGAGAGATGTCTTCCTATCCCTGTTAGCCTGCATACGTATTTCCCTCCCCATATATACATACTGGCTTATGATAAGGAAGCAGCATACATATATATACATATGTATATGCACAAACACATATATATATATATATACATACCCCTCGACCAGTGTATCTTGCCATCATCTGTGTATGATGTGTGTCCATGTGTAGGGGATATGATCTGTTCAGTGCTGGCTAAAATTTGTCTATGAAGTTTTTTTTTCGTGAATTTGTAGTAAAGAGTATCTGCCTGTTTGGTATATTGGGATATTTTTAAATTTGCCTTGATTGCATTTGTAGATGTGTTATGATACAAAGAGATTTCTGTTGTCAGGTAATTTTATTTTGCATTTGTGAAGGGCAACTCTATTGTTAAGTGACTGGCTGATGCCTATATATGACTTCTTGAATTTTGTGCATTTGATTGCATAGATAGATACAGATTTCATAAGGAGGGAACCCATTGATAATTTTTTGAAAGATTGCACTCTTTGAAGTGTAATATACTTACGAATATATAATAGCTGGTCACTCGTATTCGAGAATACCTTTCTACTAGGTCGGCTAGCCAATCCCTATTGCAGACGCCTGCGCTGTGGTTTATTCTGTAACTATGCTAATCAGACCGTAATTACAATTTAAGAGAAAGAGCGTTTTATCTAGCGTGATCACATTTTCAACAAGGCCAGCACGCCCAAGCTCTCTTGTGACTTCGTGCTCCCAAGTGTTCCGTCTACCCAATTTCACACCCAGGGATTGAGTCAACTCGTGGTATGGTTTTCAGGCACTTTCCAAAGGTGCTGCTCACTGGGATCGACCTCGATCCATTCCGATAACATCAGGAAGTCGACCATGGTGAGATTCCAACCCAGTTCTACTGAGCCACGTCCCCATAACGAATATATAAGTATATATAAGTATATACATAAACAAGTTTATATAGATTTTTATATGGCATAATTATTGTCTCTATATGTAGATGTATGTTTATAGATATAGGCATATAGATATTGATTGCAATTTTTGATTGATTTATTTAATATTCACTCATATGGAATTGAAGATGTCCAAGAAAAACAATGTCGTTTATCTTTTTGCTCGTTTAAAAAACTTTTTTGATACTGACGCCGCGTTATTTTTTATTTACTTCCCCATAAAGTTTGTAGATTTTTCACCTTGCTTCGATTTCTTTAAATTTCTTTGCACTTCCTCTGTGGATATACATTCTTGTTACCCCGTCGTTATTCCATACTCTCCGTTTCATCATATTTCTATTTTATTTTTCTTCACTGTGTTTTTTTTTCACCAGCAGCGTTAAGAATCAATGCCCATATGCTGAATTTTCCTCAATTTTTTTCTTCTTTTTCTATTTGTCTACATTACTTGAGCAACTCGACGTGGTTTAATGGTTAACGTGTTTGTCTCACTTTCTCAATTATTACTAAGTCTGATCCTCTGTAGGTGCTTCATGCTTTCGACCTTGTGTCATATCTAAGCTTCACTTAATAAATCACTGTTGGTCCTCATTTTTTGTCCCCCAACTGCTTTTTTCCAACGTACTCCCTCTTCTTAACTCATTATCCATTCATCTTATTTTTCTTTTCTTTTTTTTTCTCTCATCTTAACCTTCTTTACCTTATGCTTTTTTTCTTTTCATATTTCTTCTTTTTTATTTTCTACATTCTATATCTTGAATTCTTACAATACTTATGATATTTTATGTTCTTGTCGTTTTTTCCCCAATCTTTCTTTATTCCACCATTTTTTTTTATTCTGCATTTTCATTTTTTTTTGTTTTGGTAGATTAAACCAAATTCTGTCTTTTGCCTACAGTTGGTTTTACCATCAACGGTCCTCTTCTTATCATCATGATGGTCATTGTGGCTAGCATAAATATCAGTCTCATCACCATCATTTGTCTTGCTCATAGGCAACTCTCTTTCTCGATAAATAAACTCTTTTTTTCTAGAATTCATTTCTCTTACCGTCCAATCCAAATATTCAGTTTTCATTTCTTATCTTAAAGTCAGAATCGACTGAAGAATTACTCCTGATATTTTCCAGTCGTCTGTTATTTTTTCAAGAAAAACGTCGTCTTCTTATCTTCTTAAAGTCTTCTTCAATTTTTATTTTATTTATTAGACGTTTTACTTTAATTTTATTATCTTTACGGCTTTTTATTCTCTCAATTCGACAAGAGCAATTATATTTTTATAATCTTTTCTTTCTTTTTCTCCTCTAATGCCCTTTTTTCTTTTCCTTCTACACTCCAATTCCTCCTCCTCCCCTTCTTCTTCGTCTTGTTTTTCTTCTTCATTTCTAGTTCACTTCCTCCTTCCTCTCTTTTCTTCTTTTTCTTCTTCAATCTTAGACGACGTCTTCTTCCTCTTTACAAGTTCTCCTTTTTTACTTTTTCTTCTTCACGCCTACTCCACTTCATCTTCCTCTTTTATCCTCCTTCTTTTTCTACTTCATTTCATCTTTTTCTTCCTCATTTTTCCTCTTCTTTTTTCTTTTCCTTCTTCGTCTCCTACAACACATTTTCTTCTTTCCTCCTCCTCCTCCTTTTCCTTCTTCACTCATACTGCAGTTCTTATTTTCTCCTCCTCCTCCTCCTCCTCCTTCTTCTTCTTCTTCTTCTTCTTCTTCTTCTTCTTCTTCTTCTTCTCAATCCTTCTTTGCCTCTATACCCTCCACTGATTTTTTTCATCTTCTCCACTTCTTTGTTATTGATTATACCTAGTTTAGATTGACAAGTTGATTTTAAAAATTGTTTTCTCTCTTTCCTTTCTTTGATGTTTTGACAAGAAACACAAATAAAACTTTAAATTGCCAGAGAAGGACTCAGTGGCCGGGAAAAATGGCGTAGTCTTTTTTATTCGATCTTTGTGTATTTTTTTTTTTTTTAGTTTTCATACGTCACAGAATTTAGATGGTGAGAACCGACAAACCCACTTATATGAACACACACAGATACACACATTCACAAAACAGACATACATAAACACGCACACAGTGACATATATTTATATACATATACCTATGTAAGTGGCTATTTACTGAAAATTATGCCATTATGTATATACAAAGATATATAATCATACAATGTTTCATAAATAAAATATACGCACCTACTTATATATACATATATATATATATATATACATATATATGATTATATCTATAGACATATATATATATATATATATATATATTCATACATATATATATATATATATATGTATATATACATATATATGTGTGTGTGTGTGCTTTTGCGTGTCTTCTCATATTTATCAGTGCTTCTAGATGCATGATTTACAATTTTATATATGCATAAACATGTTGCTATACCTATGTCTAGTGACAAAAAATGAAGAATACCATTTCCTACATATACTTGGTCAATATATGCGTTCAAAATACATGTATTTGGAGACTAATAACATGTCTAAAACACGCATCCGAAACCGACTGTAGAAAAATCTTTTTTTATTCTTAAAAGGTGCAAATAAGCTCAAGAAACATTCACGTGAATACAATTATACGTTCCTATACCTGAAAACACAACTAGAGATAGAAATTTTAGCTTACTTCCTAAAGACATCGAATGTGGTGAAATAGTTGCTGTTGAAAGTTTAGTTGTATATTTAAATTGATTTGTATTTTCCTTATGGGAAATTGCAATGAACACTTTTTAGTCGTATAACTATGTCTTGGAAAATAATTTGTCGTTTGGTTTTTGAATTAAATTATGTATGTATATATATGTATATTTATATACCTCTATCTATCATATATACATAAATGTATATACATCTGATATGCCGATCTCTAGAATTGCCAGTTTAATTTTATATTCTCCGAGTATGTAAGCTCCAAATAAGGAAAGAGGTTCGTCACTTATATTGAGTTTAAATAAATTGCTATAATGAACGAAAGAAAGATTTGTACATCTAAAAGGCGACATATACGCTGGTATATACGGCATGACTCTATTAACATAGATATGGTGACGATGGGGTTCAGAAGACGCTAAGATCAATATATGCAGTTTTTAAGCCTCTACTTTCTATCACAATAGGGACACAGCATTCTGGGTGAATACCATCAGATTCGGATAAAATCCTGGGAAATGTTTGATTCTGCTTCTATTGTAAACAGAGATGATTCATTTAGATTTTTCCCTATAAGATTTATTAACAGACATTATTAAATGACTTCACAAGGCTGATAAGAAAAGATGAACGTATACATATCTATTGATTGATATTCAGTTAAGCTGATACGTTCACCTATCATCAGGTTTTCACTCCTTCCCGGTCTTTTGAACAGGTTTAGAAGTTTATACCTTGTTTACTGTATTTGGATTGCGTTTCCAGTTGCTTCAAAAACCTTTTCATTCTCTTTCACTCCCAGTGGCCCCCTTGCGTTTTAGTGACATTATAACCTTACCTAGGGAGAATTGATTACAAAAAATAAATCTAGATTGAACAAGTCATTCTCTTCTCAACCAAACACAGTGTCATGCAAGGCAGGCGATATTTGGCTAACATATGTTGAAGAGATCCACAAAATAAATTAAATCATGTCTTTTCCAAATGTATAATGCCAGTTAAACATAAGCAGAATCAATTGAAATTCAAACTCGATTCGTTGCTTCCGTATTGGTAAACGTTCCATCGTTGAGACACATAATTTGTATATTTTAATCTTTGAGCGCTGGACATTAGTTAGCGTACAACTCGTTTTGAGAATTAATTTTCTTTAGTGTGTTTGAATCTAAGGAGGGATGCAACGATTATGAACTTTTGCTATCTCGATGTCTCTCTCTCCCTTTCTCTTTAGCTATCCATCGAGTTATCTGTCTGTATGTTCGCTTGTCTGTCTGTCTGTCTGTCTAAATACCCAGTAATCAATTCGTCTAGGCGGCCACTTGTGTTGGTAAACTGATTGGGATTACTTTGCAACCGTAAAAACAGTCGAGACTTTAATAACCCCCAACCATATGCAATGCTTGTTATTTACAAATATATTTGTGCTTGTAAAATAAACTATCCTAAGGTAATAAAAAAATAAAAAATAAAAACAAAACGTGTATATATCTTCCCTGAGGTGAAGAAAAGGATGGTCAGTTTTATGCTTTCCTTGTACATCGTACGGACATTGACGCTGTAAGTTTTCCTGAGGAGAATGTGGATACGTACGCTTATGATAACTGGGGTCAATCCTGAACATAAAGTCACATAAAGTCACACATAGATACAACTATATGTATAGGCCTACAATTTATATATATATATATATATATATATATATATATATACATACATATATATATAATGCAAATATATATCTATAAAACTTCATTACATGTGTATCGTGTATATATATATTTTTTTTTTTCTTCAGGCAACAGACATTTGTTGTTAGATGTTTGATAAAATATATACAAAATATTTCCTGTTTTGTATATAAATACACAGAGACGCACCATACATACACGAATAACACGGGCAGTTAAAGAAACAAGATAGAACACAAACATATCTATCTATCTATCTATCTATCTATCTATCTATCTAATATTTTAAAGAGATATGAATGCTAACCAAAACACTACCGCGGTTTCAACAGCCAAGATCTCGTCAGGTGGTTTTTCAGCGAATCAATCCAATGTAGCTCAATACTTAAATACCCTCATTCATCACCGGAAGTGATTTCTTACGAAATCTAACGGCTGACAAGGCGATCGGCAACACGTGTGGGCTGTATCAAGAAGAGAAGCTAGATATAGCGATATATAATGCAAGAACTGAATTACTGAACGGAGTATCAGAGATCATGGCCAAGTTTAGACACGTCAGGTAGTTTGGACTTATATAAACCCGGATAAAGTTGGAATATTTTTACACTACAAATCCCTCCACCCCAAAAGCAGTGTCGAATGAAAGTATTTACGTTGTTGAGCTGCATTTGATTGTTGCGCTGAACTATTCACCTGACGAGACCTTGGCGGTCAAAACTGCTGTTGTGTTCTGGCCAGCATTCATATCTTTTTAAAATATTGAATAGCTCTGCATGTTTGGTTTTTCAACTTGAAATTGAGCACATACATACGATTTTAACAAATATTGCACTGTTTATTCTGGTGTATCTATCTCGCTCTCTCTCTCTCTCTCTCTCTCTCTCTCTCTATATATATATATATATATATATATATATATATATATATATATTTGTATTTCTGTAAGATTTCAGTAGTTCAGTGCTACCAGCAAGCAGAAAAATTATTTTTTCTCCTGATGATGGCCATGTTGGCTGAAACTAGTCGAGAAATCTAAATGAAATAATAATAAAAACGCAGGAAAATTAATATACAACCCAGTGTGTCTGAAGATTTTATTTTTAATATTTTTATTGTTCATTTTTATATATATATATATATATATATATATATATATATATATATATATATATATATATATATCGAACCTATATCCTATACGAACCCGTCATATAGCCTGACGTGCTTAACCGATTTAGCCACAGAGGAGCGTTTCGGTTAGCATGGTCGATTTTATTGTTTTGAACTACAATTCTTCATGATTTTCTCTCATACATTCGTATCTGCTCGATGCGTATCTACATGTAATCAAATGATGTTACATATGAAAGAACCTATAAACATAAAAATAAAATGTCTTAAAATAATTGTCGGACTTTGTCTATTTCATAAACCTTATCAGACAAGGAGAAAATTCTGTCAAAATGCCACCACATGTATACACATTAAAAAAACTACCTAATGACCATAGTAAAACTAGACAGCTATACACAAACAATGCCAAAATACTAGCAAAATATAATAGTAAAAACAACCATCAATAATTGAAACAACTAAGGGGGCGCATCCTCAAATGCATATAAAAACACAAACCTCATTTACGTCACAACACTCTCTGCCAAAGTCTCACTACTCTGAATACGTCACAACACTCTTTGTCAAAGTCTCACTACTCTGCATACGTCACAACACTCTCTGCCAAAGTCTCACTCCTCTGCATACGTCACAACACTCTCTGTCAAAGTCTCAACACTCTCTGTCTCTGTCAAAGTCTCACGTCACAACACTCTGCATACGTCACAAAGTCTCACTCTCTGCAAACGTCTCACTCTCTGTCAAAGTCTCACTACTCTGCATACGTCACAACTCTGCCAAAGTTTCTCTGCATACGTCACACTCTTTGAACACGAATACGTCACAACAAAGTCTCACTCTGTACGTCAAACACTCTTGCAAAGTTTCACTCCTGTGCATACGTCACAACACAAAGTCTCACTCTTTGCCAAAAGTCTCACTCCTCTGCATACGTCCCAACACTCTCTTCCAAAGTCTCACTACTACGTCACAACACTCTCTGCCAAGGTACGTCACATACGTCACAACTCTCTGCAAAGTCTCACTACACCTGCTCGTCCCAACACTCTCTGCCAAAGTATCACTACTCTGCATGCACTACTCTGCATACGTCACAACACTCTCTGCCAAAGTCTCAACCATACGTCCCAACACTTTGCCAAAGTCTCACCTCCTCCCAACACTCTGCAAAGTCTCACGTCTGCATACGTCACAACACTCTCTGCCGAAAGCATCTCCCACTCTCTGCCAAAGTCTCACTACTCTGCATACGTCCAACACTCTCTGTCAAAGTCTCACTCCTGCTCTGCACGTCATAACACTCTCAAGTCTCACTACTCTGCATACGTCACAACACTCTCTGCCGAAGTCTCACTACTCTGCATACGTCACAACACTCTCTGCCGAAGTCTCACTACACTGCATACGTCCCAGCACTCTCTGCCAAAGTCTCACTACACTGCATACGTCCCAACACTCTCTGCCAAAGTCTCACTACTCTGCATACGTCACAACTCTCTCTGCCAAAGTCTCACTACTCTGCATACGTCACAACACTCTCTGCCAAAGTCTCACTACTCTGCATACGTCACAACACTCTCTGCCAAAGTCTTACTACTCTGTATACGTTACAACACTCACTATTTCTACGAAACTCAACAACTGTCTCTATCCTACCCTAATGTTAACTTCAGAAAGTCGAAACGTCTCTTGTATTTTTCTTCCGAAATGAAATATAAAAAATTTCAGACGGAATTTCCTCCTTGTCTGAGAAGGATTATTTGTAATTTCGAAAAGACGATCAATAAAATTAATCGATGTGTGTGTGTGTTTGTCTGTGTGTGTGTGTGTGTGTGTCTGTGTGCGGAGGGGTGTGCAGATGTGAGTAGATTAGTCCGGCACAAATTTATTTTTTTAGAGTTCTTTTGTTTTGGAAATTCCACATATTGCACAGAGCTTATAATAAAATTTGGAATTAATTTAGCTGTGGTTTTTTGCAATTTTATACGCCATGCACATTATACAAATTAGCTATTTTATGGTCATTTAAATTGAATAATGCAATGTTCAGTACAATGTATATAAGTATATAACGCAACGATATTTAATTAGAAAACTGGATGAAACTGATACTTGGCCAGAGCAAAAAGACCCACTTAATTTGCCTGATATTCACTTGCATAGTCAAAGTGTGGAAATATTTATTGATACTGTAAAAACCCATCTTTCTGAATATTTTACAGAAATAGACGTCAACATACACTGACGACAAATAACATTTCAACATCTTGAAGATGTATTTCAATTTGCTCAAGATTAAATTTATAGTTTAATTGGTTTACAGTAATTGATCATATCGTGTCACGCTATTTCCACCTCCGACAGAGAGTGAATTCACATGATTTAACTTTTGTTTTTAAAGAATTCTAAACTTGTTTTCTTTTGCATTAGGTCTTTAAATCCGCAAGCGTTGCCAGGTTATTATGGGATGGAATTTTGTTTTATCGAGACAATATTTCTTGATATATTGAGAACCAAAATTAAAAGTCTTACATATGCCTACTAGCTAAGGAATTTTAACTTCGTTCTAGCATGACCAAAGACGTTTTCCGAGCGACTTCGCCTGCCAAATGTCAGTCACAATGGTGTCAACTCAGAACATTATTTTCAGCCTCTTTTTCGCCAGGACCTCCCCAGTTGCTGATTTTATACAAATCTTACATCCATAATAAATCGACTACGGTGTGATACGGATCATGTTGGGACGCTTTAGGTGGAGCGCATATAATGATCAACAGTTTCTGATATACAGAGTTTAACTACAGTACACAGGACACATATGGGTACAGAGAATATCTGTTTAAAAAGATCTCGGGTTCTAGGATTTATATTATTGTCCGACTGTTGAATTCCAGTTATAATACCTAAACGAGTAACGTCATATTCAATATATTTAAGGATGCGATTTTTCTTTGGGTTTCACCTATACAGTTCTTCTAACATTGTAGGTATTTAATATTATATATCCTGGCATTGGATTTTATTTTTGTTCTGTGTTTTCTGCTATCTAAATTTCTGATCATCTTGGGGTTGATGGTTATTATTCCACTGTCCGGGATGACTAGATGATTCTAAAATTTTGTTGATAGAAAGTTGGATGGTTGGATCATAAACCTTAGTATATATATATATATATATATATATATATATATATATATATATATATATATATTTTAGGTCTAGTGTTCGTAGCGTTGAGGATGAAGAGATGGGGTATTGAAACTTTTTTAAAATATAATTCTCTTCTTCACCTAGATGTCCTGGGTTGGATAAATCTAAACGCAGGGTTAAAAAAAACAAAAAAACATAATTAATCCTTGCTTAATTTTTTGGTTGTGGAGGGAATAGAAATGGATTAAATCATATTTGTTTGTCGGTTTGCGGTAAACATTAAAAGCTTGTTCGTATTTTGTATTAAAAGGACGTCGAGGAAGAGTAGGGTACAGCGAATATAGGGGATCTCATTAATAAATGAAATTTTTGTTTGCAGAAATTGTTGTTAAAAGAAAAAATGGCATCCTACTAATACCAGTCTTTAGTCCAACAGATGCATACATACATACATATATATATATATATATATATATATATATATATATATATATATATATATATAGTAAGCTATATTTGTGAGTTAAATTGCACGATATCAGGGATAGAGCGTACGTAAAATAACAGTGGGTTAACACCAAGCGGAGACCGGCTGTTTCAGGCCTGAAAAAGGTCATGAGAATTGCGTTTAAGAATGAACCAGAGACCTCAATATATATATATATATATATATATATATATATATATATATATATATATATATATATATTTGAGAGAGAGAGAGAGAGAGAGAGAGATGATAGTTTGTGCAAATCAATTGAAACAAAACGAATAATCCAATTATTATTTACATTTTTCGTATTTTTACAATAAGACATGGCCCAGTGCACATACTAATACTTCGTATGTCCATTCCACGAAGTCATTCCTTGCAGATTGACTACAGATTCTCGATTAGATTAGATTCAATCTATAGTACTTTCATTTGCTCAGTGGTAAGGCCTTGCAGTGTGTTCGTGCAACATTTCAATTTTCGTAATCTTCCTTGGAGTAACCATCATAACAGATAATGACCGTAGGACAAGTAATCGACAGTCGAGGCAAAAGTGTCTGGACGTGATGAAAATCTGATTCAATCATGGATAACGCAATATTTTTCAAGGACAAAAAGATTTCATCATACACCCCGAAAATAGATTCATATGACTGCACACCAATTGAAATTACCTAATCTGAATGAAAAATAGAAATTTATTATACCTTGTCACTCCAGTGGGTCTAAAACTAAGTGTATGGTATAAGTAAGGAAACTAAGGCGGTTGTTTCAATTAATGTATGTATGAACGTACGTACGTATGTACTTATGTATGTACGTATGTATGTATCTATCCTGGTTTTTTTCTTTCCTTCTTTCTTTATCTATCTATCTATCTATCTATCTATCTATCTATCTATCTATCTATCTCCTTACATCATCTGGTGTCAGATAGAAATTACTGTAGTCCTAATAACATACAATATATTCCTGTTACTTTCCGACAAAGCTGCCAGGTTATCATACAAGAGGAACCCATTACCCAATAGAAATGATCTAAAAGAAGACATTGACAATATTCTATTTTCTTTATAAAGTCTTACAATCATCATTCTTCAGCAGCAACGTTATAGCTAAGCCTATAATTATATTTCCAGTACAAAGAAACCTTCATAGTTGATGTTTATCCATTTAATTCTTTCCTCCGGATGTTTATTTTAACAAGAGAGGGACGCAGTTTTGACCCACATAAGGTCAATCATTTGATTCTGAATAAAATAACTTATTTAATAAATACTGCGATCGACATTTGGAAACTGTTATGTTGTTTTAACCAGTACACACCAATTAGGAACATGGGCTTAATGGCCATCACATCATTGTTAAAATATGATCATTTTATGTTTTTTTTTCTATTATTTATCTTAATAATCAAGATGTCGGAAATTTAACAGGCGGCATATTTTGATTGCCGCTAAAATTAACAGATTCTTGTCGACGCCATTAGCTAGTGTTCGAAATCATAGAAAAAAAGCAGCATGGTAAATGTACAAAAGTTGGCCATTACAATATTTGCGCATTACTAAGCCGTTTATTTTATAGGTAAATTTGATTCGGCTATTCACCATAACTCATCTCTATGTTGAAGTGCTATAGATTATTTAAGAATCTTAGGTCAAATGAATTGGGAAATAGGGAAGAATTTCGTCGCCACTGGATTCCTATTGCATTTATGCGACACGACAGTTGTGTACAGGGGCATTGTCTTGCACGATATGAAGAAATGTGCTGCGGATATTGCGTCTATGGGGTCTGGTATCTTAGCGCAATTTCGTCAGCAGTAAGCAGTAATAAGAGGTGATTATTCTAAGACCTTTGACCAAGAAATCCATAAGCACCAGGGAAATTTGTTTCCAGGAGACTTTGGTCATCACCTTGCCGGCGTGTGTGATTTTATGGCTATTATGTGTATGAAGCTTTGCCGAGAGACCTATAGATGCATTTTAGTTATACGTATAGACGTCAGCTAACAGAGATATATACGCGCGCTCACAGATATATGAGGTGTTATTCCAGAATTCTTAACATTTTCCTCTAAATAATATTATTCCAAGACATACTGTTAAGCTTTGCATTCGAAAGAGTTGTTTCACGCACGCTTTCAAAATTCTTCGTGCGTCTGTGTATGCAATAGGCTATATGCACTTTTGTGCAGGAAGTATATATATATATATATATATAAAAGAAGACATTGTGTTCGTTTTTGCTCAAATACTCTTTGAAATAGAAGAATCCATCTCCCGACCAGAGCAGAAGTAGGTCAACTCTAAATTCAAAATAGGTTGTACGTGAAGTTAGTAACTCCAGAACCTACTTTTTACGCAAACCAGAGCATCAGCCGCTAGCGGGGTGTGGCACTACAGTGCATTGGATGTTTACATGGTTAACACATGCGCAAGAACACACACACACACACACACACACACACACACACACACACACACACACACACACACATATATATATATATTATATATAGACGCAAACACACACAGATATACATGTTCGTTTTAATTTACAAAAATATATCGACGTTATTGTATCTACATATATTTAGAAAAATATGACACACTGGAAAGGGTTTTTGTGTTGCGTTTTATCCGTTAGGATTTCATTGGACTGGGCTTTGTTGATGTTGCCATGTCTACACATACACACGCACGACTGTCCTGGGTATGACGATAAACTACATCGGCGTCCTGGGTAAAGCGATAAAATACATCCAACAGCAAGGCCTCTGTTGAGGAGGTTTTGAGGAGCGTGGAACCACTTCTTAATTGCTGGTGTTCCCAGGTCCACCCTGACCCGGGGTGGTAGCACCTGTTAGGGTCGCAGCTATGGGCAAATAGTTAACCTACAAACTTGGATCAAAATACTATGAAAGTGTAAATAAATAGTTTATAAAAAAATTATTACCAGCAATACATTTTTTTAAAAAATTAAAAAAAAATATATTTCCGTCAATAAAAAATTTGTCGGCATTAAATAACCCATTGCGGTGGATATGCTGTAATACAAACCAAGTCAAACCATGCATGCACACGAATCGAGAGACGTATAAAGTTTCAAAATATTTGAAAGAATATTTTTGAGAGAATATTTATTTTATGCCTGGAAGGTGACTTGATTGCAAGATCAGCCACAATAAATTTGTGTCCAGGCTCCTACAATATATCACCATTCTTGGTAGATTTGTTATTCTCACAGTGTGCGATAGTCATGGACAAAGGTGATAGAGAGAAAAAGACAAAGAATACAGATGATTTCGGCTAGATTGAGAAAAAGATGTCTCAAAAATATTCTTGGAGAAAACTTGGTTAAAATGGCTATACACATGGAAGTCTACATGTCCTTCTACATGGAATTCTACATGGTTAACATGGCTGTACACAGAGAAGTCTCCATGGCCTTCCACATGAAATTTTACATGGTTAAAAATGGCTATACACAGGTATGTCTATATGGCCTTCCACATGAAAGTCTACATGGTTAACATGGCTATACAGAGGGATGTCTACATGTTAACAAAAACATAAATTCTCTAATCTGGGAAATAGCAGAAGTTTCTGGAGTCTTTTTCCCAGGTTAGGTTTTAATGAAGGCCTATGATAAACAGGTTACAACCTATGTGAATTAAGTTATCGCTTAATTAGTAATCATTTACGCATAATTTTGGACTGTATAATTGTCTTCCAAACTTTGCAATGGTATACTTTAAAAACGAACAACCTTATGTTAATTCATAATTAATACTGAAATTAAATTTAATGGAGATTTTGCAAGCACTGAAGTGATAATATTTAATTTATGTTAAACACACCTAAGAATACACTTATATAAACAGGTATACTGTTGAGCAATGTCAAGGATGATGAGAAGAATATTTTGCATTTTTTAGTGTTTGGAGAAATGTTTTAAAAGGACAGATTTCCCAAATGTTTACATATCTTTCCTCTTCTTCAAATTTTACAAGTTGCCATTGACGGGTTATTTTGTCAAGACGTATATATATATATATATATATATATATATATATATATAT